TTGATGACGAGTTTCTAAATATAAATTTAAAAACAATATTGATACAAATATTCAGTAAAAAAGTGTAAAAATACTGTTATAATTTTATTACAATAAATAAATCTACGTATACAAATAAGTATACAAGAAAATAAAAAATAATATATTAATACAAAATATCGGTAACAATTTGTAAAAATACTGTTTACATTTTATTACAATACATAATGTGATAGGTATTTCAATGAAAACAATAGATTTGGCTTTGGTGTGAACGGTTACCTCACTTTTCCGGCAGAATGACGACGGATGTCGAAGGACGTTATTTGATGACGAGTTTCCCAATATAAATTAAAAAAATATTTATACTACAAAATAGGCAGCTAAAATTTGCAAAAATACTGATATAATGTTATTACAGTACATAAATCTCCGTATACAACTACTTATACAAGAAAATACAAAATACAAATTTTTACATGACGAAGGTTGCACTTATTGTCCACACTGCTAACCAGAGAAATTCTAGAAAATTTCGTGCGGCAACCGGGAAGGGAAGTTCTCGTGAAATCACACACCGACGACGCGAGCGAGCGCGCGGGCGCAATCTCTACCGGGAGAGATCGGTCGAGGGAGAGACCAACTCTGCGCAAGGTAGAGCTTCTGCGACGAGCCCCCTCCCCCGCACTCGCTCCCGCCCCGAGCTCATTATTAACCCCCGGCGCCTCCACCCTCGTCTCCTCTCCCCTCTCCTCCCCCACCCCGCGGGGGAAGGGGGGGTAATTGACTCGCCTCGCGCGGCATCCCAGGTGATCCGCTCGGAGCGCTGTTCCGGTTTAATTTAGCAGGTTAATGAGCTGAACTCTCCGTCCCATGTTAATTCCTGTATTACTGTTTGTTGATGATCGCTGGAAGAGTTGTTCCCAGCGCGGCAAGGGGCCCCATTAACTCTGCAGCCCCCGCCCCCGCTCGCCCGGGCCGGTCCCTGCTACGTGACGGCGCCGGGCCCCACCGCGCACATTGGCCGAAAATTGACGAAAAAGAGCGCCGTGTATATATTTGCAAATATAAAGCCTCAGAATTGGAGATATTTACGACAATGATTCAAGACTAAATAGTGAGGTATATTATATATATTATCCATATATATATATATATAGTTATATAATATATAACATACATACATAATACATGCCTATCCTCTATATGACAATGATAGCGGCCGACGAATGAAAAAAAAGTGGTAGATGAAAAAAAGTTTGAGTCCCATCTTTAACAAATCGATAGGAAGAAATGAGAAATATTGGAAAGACGTCTATATGTCGATGGAAGAAGGAAAAGAAGTCTGTCAGATCAAGTCCAAAGAGATCAAATCTGCGAGAAAGGTCAAATAGAGAGAAAAACAATTCATAAACTTACATAAAATTTCCAAATATGCTCTTATAGAAATTAACGGAGTTCCGGTGGGTTAGCAATGATATTTGTGTTATAACTGCATTAATATGAAATAATCAATACCAATTAATTATAAGATAAACTTCATATCTTATAAACACTTAATAAACTTACTGAAAATCTTATTTTTAATTTTGCCTGTTTATTTTGATTTCGTATTAAATTTTCGATAAGGTTAGCAAAACACCCCGCGAGTGTTCCATTGCATCCCACTTGTGCCCATCGCGCGGGTTCTCTGCGACCCACCCGGAAGGGGAGGGGAGGGGAGGGGGGGGAGGAAGGGTTGGCGCGGCGGTGGCTTACCCCAGCACACCACCGTGCAGGTTGCGACCTATTTCCAGGCCCCCTGCGCGGAATGCGGCGGCACCGCACGGGAGTCAGCGGCGCCGGAGCCGCCTTGCAGAGCGGGCAAAGCCCGAGGTGTCCATTCCCTCTCTCTTTTCTTCCATCGCGAATTTCGGGGTCCCGCGGCGCGAAAGAACGCGATTGAATTGCGCTGGTAATGGGAGAGGGAAAAGGTGGGGGGGGGGTCCGAATTTATGGAGGGTACCATTGCTAATTGGAAAATCCTGGAAGAGAACTTGCTTCTTACCTGTGGTTGGAAAATGCTGGGGGTAGCTTGTACTTCTTACCTTTGGTAACTTAATGCTCGAGAACGGGTTTTGATTTCAAGTTGTTTTTAAATTCTCATAAAATGTTTTAAGAACCGTATGTGAAAGACAAAATGTTGTGTTTGCGTTTCTTTTACTCTTTCAACAAATGGTAGAGTCAAAATGTCAAATTTCGTCACCTCTTATTTAATTAGGAAGAGTCTAAGATAGCTGGTTTAAACTATTCAATTCTTTATTGTGCGTTCTTTAGGGTTTCAATTTAATAGCAGTTGTAACACATATTTGGAGATAAGCACCTGCCAGTTTTAGATAACGTTACATATCTCTTTATAACCATATCATACTAAGACTGAATTACTTCTGTAATATTCCGTAAAATAGTACTGTAATACAATTAGAATTGTAATATTTGGCATTGTGCACAACTCGACTGTCACATGGTCACATACTAATTGTTGTATAGTTTTGATTACCCCAACATCCACTGTTTTTTTAACTTCTTCCTCTGTTCCTCTAAATCTTTAATATCAGTTTATGTGAAATATTGCTTCGTTGGTGAAGTCGGTTAAACTCTTACTTTTCCTCTCAAAAATATAAATGTCACTAGAACTAATAGTAAACAAAGTTAACATACGACTTTTTAATTTCAATTATATTTTATATTTCATATTATATATTTCAATTCGAATTTTGTTTTCACTAGATTGTCAAAAATGAATTCCAATGAATAAACCTGTTTTAACCAGACTTACGAAAATTAATTAAAATGAATAAACATTCTGATCAAACTCGACAGATTATTCGGTGCCTGAATCTCGTCAGATTTTTTTCTGATACTCGTTTGTGAGATTTTCCACCGAAAGGACTTTCTTTCGTCATCTTATGTCACTTTTATGGCACTTCCAAAAACACAAATCTTTCAGGAAGAAAGTTGAACGGGAAACAAGGCCGAATTATTGAGAACAGTTGTAGGAGCATTTCCAATAAGAAAAACACGACGGCTCAAAGTGCAGCCCCTGTCTCCCGGAAAACAGAACTTGGAAGTGAGCGCATTTGGATCGCACTCTGGAGCGTCACTTCCTCACACTCATGTTGTTTTGCTGCACGGCGCACTCGCTTTTGAGTCATTCGCAGAAGTGATTTTAAATGACGTCCGTCACACAGTGTGGGAGCGATAAACCTTTCATGTGCCCAAATGAAGAGACTACTCTTTTTATTTTTATTTAGAAAAATTATGGAGTAAGGTATGGTAAGAAAAAAAGTGTCATTGTCGAACTCTTTGATAAACAAAAAACAACGCAAAATAAGTAGGTGATAATGAATTCCTAAATTCTTTCAATTGATCAAATAGTGGTAAAATGAAAACGCAAAACCCAAAATACTAACCTCTCAAAAAGTCTCTAAATATGTGAGTTCGAAAACATCTTGAGGAAACTAAAAACTAGATTACGATTCTAATTTATAATAAAAGCAAAACTGCAAATAACACTAAAAAATCAAATTAATATAAAACTGTTACAAATGTTAACTTGGGGGTTTTATTATGAAAACATTCAGTTCAAATTCGTATATACGTTTTTTCGATGCGTGAATGTAAGAGAAAAAAACCTAAAAAATCAAAAGAAAACATCTCCCAATATTAAGATAAAAAAACATATTACCTATAAGTTAGGCATGCCAAAGTGCAAGTGTTTTTAACGGCGTAATTAGATTAAATTAAATTTTAGTTAGTTAGAAAGAGAAAGACCCCTCTCTCAATTTCTGTAGCTAATTAAGCTATAAGACTACTACTACGTGGCTCAACTGTATTCTGTTACGTAAATAAATTCCCACCTTCACACGGTTACTGTGAGGGGGAAGGAAGAAAAATATTCATTTTTTTTTGCGGCAACCGGTTTGAGGCCGAAGAACATTACGCCTTCACCGTACGACTATAAAGATGACAAACTGAAATTTGTAATCTCATTCAGAACATAAATATTTTTTTTAAAAAAGTACGATGTTTCTTCAGTACGTAACTAAATTCACGACTAGATTAGTTAGGTATCGAGCAAATATAAAATCTACTCCAGGTTGCAATCAACTTCTTTTGGAACAGATCTACTGGAGTTTTGGGAAGTTCCTACACACGTTTTGAGGATAAAATTCTACAGCCCCGATGACAATCGGTTAGACAGTTATGTAACTCACATCTTATTGATTTCGATTTCCAATCAACTATTTAATACGTTTGTCTCTCTGGTACGAGGTGCTCATCGCATTACGCAGCAACTTCGACGAGTAGACACGTCTTCTCCAATTCCGAATAAAAACTTCCAGTTAATATTATTATTATTATCATTAATACAATTTTTATTCTTGATAATTAGTTAATACACTATGTTAGATCTCGTGGCTAGCTCTTGGTCAGCGTGCTCGCTTTCCAATACGCGGCCGCGGGTTCGATTTCCGATCGAGTCAAGAATATACTGTGAGTTTCCCTCGTAATGTCTCAGTATATGTTGGTGTGTGACAATGGGAAAACTCACTTCTCAGGTTGAGAAGATCAGAATACGGCATGGGGATATCTACGTGCTCACCACACGTACCCTCTTAACCCACGGCCACGAGGCAGGGACGTCGCTGGAAGGCCTGAGCCCGTTCACGGGCAGTGAATGTATATACATACACACATATACAGTATATATATACATACACATATATATATATATACATACACATACATACACACATATATACACATATATACATACATACATACATATATATACGTACATACATATATACATACACACATACATACATACATACATATATACCTACCTACATACAATATACACTGTTAATTATACATTTTTCGTACGTATTCGTATTTCATCGAAATACTTCAAACTAATTTCCCTTGTGTCCCACGACCTGCGTGGAGGCGTGGTCGCCGCCTCCGCGTCCACCCACCACCTTCACAATCAGCGCGGGGGGGGGGGAGGTAGATTCAATCCGCGTGTCCGCTAATCGGGCGGCAGGCGAACCGAACGGGGGCACGCGCGCGCGAACGCCATCGAACGAGGGCGATGACGGCAGCACGGCGCACCGGAAGAGGCAAGGGGCGGGTCGCGCGCGACGTAAGAGCGCTGCCAGACCACTTCCGCCTCCGACGCGGCGCGTCACCTCTGGCGAGGGCACGGCGCGGCGCGCGAATCGCGTGCCGCCTAACCTCGGCGCCACGCCCCCCCTCCCCGCGGTGGAACCGTCGCCGTCGGCGAAGTGAGAGGACTGCTCAACTTTGCAAGAATTCGAGCAAGAATGCTCGCTTGGGGTGGCTCGCTACACCGGAAGCAGGCACCACTCATACGGTATTCACCTAGGGGGAGCTACTGCTCGCCGAATTCACCGATTGGGGAGTTATTGCTCGCCCAATCCCGAACAGCTGACGTGCTCGCTTCCTTCGATGTGTCCCAAAGACCGACACGCCGATCCGGGAAGCCGACATCGGTAAAGCAGTAGTGTCGTGGGTTCGAATCCCGCCTCGGGCATGGGTGTATTTGTTATCGTCCTTTCACCCTTCATCATCATCCTATCACACCACTAAAGAAGTATTAAAAAATTCCCTTACCGAGCAGGAGGCCCTTACTCTAACACACATCAACCAATGGAGGACTTTTATTTAGAAAACATTAATTAAATATAAACCAGACAAATTAAAATAACAAAGACTTATACAAAGGTGTGCAAAACATTCAACATTTCAGTTCACGATCATTTCTTTCTACCTAGCACTTAATACTTACAATTGCACGAAGTCTCAATTACACGAAGCATTGTCGAAGATATGAAGAAGTTTAATCAACATTTTTAGCGAGATGAAGGTTTTGTGATATGAGTTTAACAAACCAGCCACTTTCTATATTTATTATGCGAGTCTGTGGTCTGTTTCCAATTCGGTTACAAATTTTCGGGTGCTACCCCAACACTAGGGCAGTCATTCTAGTTAAGGATACGAACACTTCGTACGAGATGAAAATACTTACACGTCTTGATACGTAAACTATTCAACGCTATTTCTACGTCATCAATGCAATCGTTTCGTTTGTCACTATAACTTCCGTTCCCTCCCGGAAGAAACCTTTCTGCAGGCACACGCCTGAAGGAAGTGGTGGCCGCGATATCACAGTAATACGTAATATACTTCAGATAGGATATGACAGCTTACGATTCTTAAGGCGAAAATCTACAGTGGGGGATTCTGTGAATTGTTTTCGTGACTTCGGTTCGGTGAACGTCCCGGAGACTTATCAGAATGTTAATTAAAAGAAAAACGATTTTTACTGACGTGGAGAATCCGAGATAGGATCTGTGTAGTTAGGGGTTACTCACAGCTTGCATTTCCAGTTCGATAAAGACTTACATGTCGTTTTGTAGTTTCGTGTTATAATATATGCTACTTTTATCGATTGTGACGTAGTCTAAGAGTATCCACGTGGTTACTACTCATTTGATCTCTGGTAAACCGATAACCTATTCATAATATGTGAGATAAAACGTGTTTTTATAAAGTAGGACGCGGAATCAACGACGATGATGATGATGAAAGATTTGAAAATGTTGTGAATACTTACAACGCTCCAGTAATCGGACAATGCATTGCGTGTCTGACTTAAAAGATGGGTTCTGTGAATGACACGCCCATAGGATTAATAATTAGTCTGGCATTTTTATTTTATAGCTCCCATTAACAAACACATAAATTCATATTTTAATGTTTTATATGCATACACATTTGAACGATTTCTTCTTACAAATTTTAGTTTTACACAATAACCTTTCGGCGTAATTGTGTTCATTTAGTTAGAATTTCGAAACGAACAATTGAATTCAAGAAATCACACAATTCTCACACTATTTTTGTCAGAGACATTCATTATATTATTTTCTTGTCGAGGTAAATGGACTTAATTGGAATTAAGTTAAATGGAATTAATTGGTGTGTGAAATAATATTTTATTTCACACACCAATTAATTCGAAAGTTCTATGACACATTTGTGTGGTAATATGTTTTGTTGTAAACATAAATGGCACATTATTAGATGAGTACCACTACTTTCAAGCTAGCTGTAAGTTCGTTTTTGTAATCGTAAATATATTCGTTATATACGGAGTTACATTATAGTTTCGTTATATACGTACATACGTAGTTTCGTTATATAACGATATAACGTACGTATATATGTAGTATATATGTAGTAACGTACGTATATATGTGTCTTTACGAAAGACTCACGGCAGCAACATTCAGTTGTACACCCTACGAATCGAATTAACTCCCGCTGTGTCGCGCGTCTACTATGAATGGAGAAACTGCCTACTTTCACGTCTTTAAATGTTAGAGCAGACGGCCGTGAATCCAGGAGTCTTAAACGACTTACATCTGGAGCTCTTGTGCACTGGCTTTCACTCAGCACCTCTTGTGTCGGGCGTCGCGTCGCGTCGGTGGACGGCGAAACGGCGCCTGTGCGCCTCCGCTAAACGAAGCCGGGCGCACTCCGGACGAAATCATTCATTTCCGATTGTTCCGCGCCGAATCAGCGTCGTCATCTGATGACTCTATTACGGCCGCGCGCTCTCTTATCAGCGCTTCGCGGGCGGGGCGGGGCGCGTCGGGGCGGGGCGGGGAGCGCCGGTTGCCAGTGTTTTCGCGAGACAGGCACCGTAGTCGAGTTTCCATTACCTCCGGTGTCAACCCCTCCCCTGGCTGGCTGGCTGGCTGAGGCGTCTGGTCGCCTCGCCGTGGACGGGGCGGTAAAAGCAAGAGTAAGGATGCTGGGGTGAGGATGGGGATGGAGCTAGGAGGAACAGGAGGTGACGGAATGCAGATAGCGGTGATTGACTTGCTAGAGGTGGTAGGGCAGATGGTGTTTAAGATGATTGAAGTTTTGATGGAAGTGATGGTTGCAATGTGGTAGTGGAGGTGGTGATTGTGCGGGTGGTGGCCGTGCGGGTGGTGGTTGTGCGGGTGGTGGTTGTGCGGGTGGTGGCTGTGCGAGTGGTGATGTTGATAGCGATTGAGATAGCTATAATGGTTGTGTTATGGTGGTTGAGATGTTGGGGTTATGACGGTGATAGTGGTAAAAGTGATGGTGGTAGTAGTGACTGTGGTGTTAATGACAGTGTTTGTAGAAATAATAACGTTGAGGTGGTTCGTGGTGAGGAGCTTGGTAGCGGCACGGTAAATGCTTTGTGTCAAAACTACGAACGACGTAGATGTATGCACTGGTATACTCGAAGTAGCAAAAGCACGTTATGGGGTTTGGAGCTACGCAAATACGATTAAGCAGGAGTGGCTGGTTGTGTGATGGGCGTGTCGTGTCGTGTTCGGTGTCGTGTCGGTGTCGGTGTCGGGTGCGGTGTGTGACGGTGTCGGTACGGTGTCGGTGCGTGGGTGGTGTGGTGACGGTTGTCGGCTGTGTGTGGTGTCGGTGACGGTGTCGGTGTCGGTGTCGCGTGTGGTGTGTGTGTGTTGACGGTGAGGTGTCGGTCGTGGTGTCGGTGATGGTGTGGTGATGGGTGATTGATGATGGTGTCGATGACGGTGACGGTGTCGGTGTCGTGGGTGCGTGTCCGGTGCGGTGGCGGTGTCGGTGCTTGATGGCGCTGGTGGTGCGTGGTGGCGACGGTGGTAGTGTGGTGGTGGTGTGGTGGGTGGCGGCGGTGTAGTGATAGCGTGTCGATGCAGTGTGGAGGCTAGACGCCTAGCACTAGAATGAGCCGGGGCGGTGTCGACGGTGCGAGCGCGGCTCCAACGCCGGTGGGAGTGGGAGGGGTAGGCGTTTCGAGTCGGTGACTGGGGGCGCCGTCGGAGTATGATTGTAACTATTGTTCATCTTAATTAACTTTAAAGCTGCATGGTCTGGAGCGACACTCCCGGACGCGCGCGCCGGAATTTATTCCGCCGCCACCGCGGGCCGCCAGGGGATGGGCGGCGCCGGTCGTGCTCAGAGAGGCTGGATGGGATAGCGGCGTATTTCAAGAGAAAGGGGCCTGTTTAGTGATTTGGCGATACATTGGGAGGCGAACTTCAGGTCATGTATAAATTATTACTCTGCAATTGTTTTATGAACCATGCATTTATTCTTAGCAGCCAAGTAAATTCAAAGATCATTAAAAAATAGTCACAGAAAGCTGAAGCTTTGATATGTAATTAGGAGCAAGAAGGCCATTGGTATACTATAAGGAGCTGAAAGTGAAGAGGAGTAGACTATGATGCCAGCGGTTCAATGTTTTAATGATAGGCGATTTTGAGAGTATGATACGTTTATTTTAATACGGCAGGTTTTCTGTATTTTATTCAATTTACAAAGTGTAGCAGATTGAAGAAAATGGGTTTAGAACAACGTTGGCGCTGATACTGTGGAAATTTCTAGTAAAGTTAATAGTAAATATTATTAAGTTTTGAAGAAAAAAATTAATAAAGACAGGTTTCCCTTGTCTATATTGAGAACTCCATAATTTGGGGGTTGCCCAGCTCATTCCCTGATTATGGAATCATGTCATAATTTACACCCCTGAGATAAAATGTAGCATAATAAGCAATGTCAATGGAACTTGAAATACAAACAGAGCCACGCTCTTAAATAGCGAACGCCAAAGGGTGACTAACTGTAGCGGTATACTAGAGCCTTTATACAACAACACGCACGAACTGATTATTCCTTTGAACACATACAAGGATTAGGGAAAGTTTTTCATGTAATAATATATTTAGTGGTATCTCGGGCAAAGTGAGTACGCCAGATATGTAATTGGGTCTGGGCTCCGGCCGGGCGTCAGGCACAGGTGCAGCGTTTCTCAGCCATTCTGGGGCGACCTTCTAGGGCTAATGATTAAGCACCTGAAGAAGGAGCGAAGCGCGGGCCGAAACGTAGGCATGTGGCTTGACACGGTGTCTCCGGTTCATCCAAGTATGTTGCTGACTCTGCGCTAATGCCACGTTACCAGATCACAGTCGTCTTTGGACCGTTGTACGAATCGAACGGTCGGAGTAACACCGAGCCGACTAACCATCCGCACGCCGTCTCGCGTGTGCGTCCGGCTCGCGGGCGGATCGCGCAGGTGTGGGGCGGGTCCATATTCACGCCTTCTTCTCCTCTTCCTCTCCGGGGGGAGCGGAGGGGAGCGAGCGGGCGGCGGGCGGCGGGAAGTTGCGGGGAATTGACTCTTTTTCCTGGTTTGCTAATGATGTTACAGTTCGTCGCGCCCCGGCCACTTCGCGCTGCGCGGGGCGGCGGACGGGAGGAGAGGCAGTTTTTGCCATAGTTTTCTCGGGGCGCATTACGCAGGAAGGCAGACGGGGCGCGACGTGCGATGCGAGGGGTGGTGGCGGCCGGGGTAGCGCTGGGAAAAGGAGGCAGGGGAGAGATGAGACACTAACATAATTGTTTGATTTTAGACTGTTAATTGATTAGGATATCCGGTCATGAAACTGCTAAGATCATTATTCCGTAAGGGTAATGCACGTTTTTTATCGTGGGAGGTGGCAGTGTTTCCTCATGGACGGTGAGATGACGGCAGCGACCTCCATCAGGCTAATTTGGATTCCCAACCAGGAGTCTTCCATAGCAGGGCACCAGACAGCGGGACAACTAAGTTCCGACCCCAGTAGTGTGTTAGTGCACGTAAGTTGTAAGTAAGTAAGTGGTGTGTAAGTAAATGGGGCAAGGACGAGGAGGAAGTTTCGCGCGCGGCCCGTGACCGTTTGTTCGGGTAGCTGCTTCAGCATTGCTAGTATTGACGGAGAAACGCACTGTGAATACCGATAGAGCAGAGGGGGGTGAAAAAGTATTTTTTTCAGTCCAGCGGCACTTACCCATAGATAGTAACAATATTATAGCTTTTTCAGTAGTGTTGCAATTCATGCACACGTCAGGGTCAACCTTGATTCTCGTCAAGGCAGCTGCGTGGTGTAGTTGTTCCATGAGCGACCTCTTCCCGGTTTCGATATTTCGTGTCGCAGACCATCTAATAATAATTGATGGCACTTATGACCCCGTGATGTTGTTGTAATATTAATTGTGTCTGAGATCAAAAACTTATTCTCGGATTCGAATGTATTTTCTAAGGCCAGCACGATAGGAGCATGACAGCTGTTTTCAGCTACGGGTTTAAACGTCCACACTGGGCACTGCTTATTTTTCCAATGAACGCTAATTTTTACACCACGACACGTCATCCCAAAGTGGGAATGACGGGCAGCTTAATTCTGTACACCTCACAATTTTTATAAAAAGTCCCAAAGTAAACTGTATGGAATAAAAATACGTATTTCTTGACTTATGCCCCTTTCTCTTCTTGTTTCAGAGAAACACAAACTCGCATTGTATATATCGT